ATCTATCTATCTATCTATCTATACACACACACACACACACACACACACACACACACACACACACACACACATATATATATATATATATATATATATATTCATACAGATATTTTATTAAAGACAACAGACAAGGTACTGTGATTAAGCCTTTTATTTAATTTTTCTTGTGTTCGAACAAGTACTTTCTTTTTTGGGACACAGAGTGTGTAGGACCTGTCCAAATGTTCTGTAATTCCAAGCGCTTTCGGCTATACTTTTAGCAATTATCAAGGATGATTTTATTTTTTCAGTTTAATTGAGTGTCTGCGTAATGTGTATGTTTTTAGTGTGTTATAGAGATGTTTTATTTTCCGAACACGGTTAGCACATTGTGGCCTTGTTCGTAGTTAATATTGTTAAGAGTTGGCTTTTTCTTTTAATTATTAGGGCTTCCTTTATTTTAAATCTTTTTTTTTTAAGTGGATGAGGTTATTATGTTTGTGTTTTCTACTAGTATGTTTCGAATGGAGTCTGGTAGCTTCGTGTATGTGTTTAAATGGTTTCTAATAGAGCACCGGTCAGATAGGTGTAACGTAAGACGTCTGGATAGGCATGTAGTTGTGTGACCGATGTAATTATTTATGTGTTCGATTTGATCAAGAAACACAGTTTCTCAGGGGGCATTTGAACTCATCGATAATGTTCGTTCGTTGTAATTTTGATTTTTCTGGTATGTTGGTATTTTTTAGGAAAAGTTGAGCTGTTTTAAATATTTTGTTGTAGATAATTAAATTGTGTTTTTTATTCTGGTTAATTGGAGTAATGTATTTCTTTATAATATTTCTAAGTGAAGATTCGTCTTGTTTGTATTTTACGTGTATTTGGCTTTTGTAGAAAATATGTGATTTTTGACTGTATGTTCACTATCATTATTATTTACTTTAGAAAGAAATATTTTAATTTGGTAGTCGATTAATTGGTTATGGAAGTCATTGTTAACTAGTGTCTGTTTTGCATTGTTGAGTTCTTTAAGAAAGAGTTGACGAGAGGATGAATTCTGGTGAGCTCTTTTTAGGAAGTTTTTTTTATCACTGCTATTTTGTATCTGAATGGACATTCATTCTTAAAGTTAAGGTTGCACGAGTTTCTACTAGTGCGTTTTTATACGATGATGTGGTAAAAGTGTTGTTACTGCATTCTACGAGATCGTCTAAGAATGGGAGTTTACTTTTTTGACTAAGTTCGTAGATAAAGTTAAGGACAGATTTTTATCAAATGTGGTTTTGAGAGTATTAACGTAAAAAGTGTTTCTGTTAGGGTTTTTATACAATGAAATGGTAAAAGTGTTGTTACTGTATTCTACGAGAAAGCCTAAGAATGAGAGTTTCTTTTTTGACTAAATTCGTTGGTCTGTGTTAAGGACAGATTTATTTTCAAATATGGTGTTGCAAGAATCTATTTCTTTTGTGTTTTTCGCTAAAATAAAAACGTCGTCTACTTAGCGGACGTTTATTTTAGGTTTAAATATTATGTTTTCTACATGGGACGTGTAATAATTGGAGAAGCACGGGCCGAGTGAATCTCCTATACTAACGCCATTAGTTTGGGTGTAGATGTTTCCATTATAGCCATAGAATGGTTAGTAAAATCAAAATTGTAACAAACGAATATTATTTATGAGTTCAAATGCCACTTAAATATCTGTGTTCCTAATAAAACAGAACTCATAAATAATTATATCGGTCACAGTACTTCAGGCCTATCCAGACGCCTTATGTTACACCTACCCGACCACAGCTCTACTGGACCCAATTTAAACACACACACAAACTTACCCATCTCCATCTCAAACATATTAGTAGAAAATACGAACATAATAACTTACATTTAAAAAATGATTTAAAATAAAGGAAGACTTAAGAAAAAAGAAACAGCCAACACTCAGTCATATTAACGACGAACACGGTCACAATGTGCTGACTGTGTTCGGAAAATGAAACATTTCAATAACCCTTGAAACATACCCACAACCCATACACGCAGTTAAAAAGCAAAAATAAAAACCACCCTTGATAATGTCTAAAACTATAACTGAAAGCCCGCGGAATTACAGAACATTTGTACAGTTTCTACACACTGTGGGTCCAGAAAAGAAAACACTTGTTCTGATACATGAAAAATTAAATAAAAAGCTTAATCGCCATACTTGTCTGTCTTATTTAATGAAAAATGTATAAATAAAGGATTGCTGCCTATATATATATATATATATATATATATATATATATATATATATATATATATATTCATACACGTTTAATTAAATAATATAAACAAGTGTTGTCTATTTATTTTATGTAAATTCTTTTCATAACGACTGATAAGTTAATAACATTATCATTGAACGAAGAAAGAAATTCACAATAGTGATCCATATTTTTTTAATACAATCTAAGCTTTCAGCTTACTTAAGCCATTATTAAAGATGTCAATTATGTGTGTGTGTACATAATCCAAGTGTATCCTATTAATATAATATATTAAAACAGATCCACAAAAGACCTCAAATATATATATATATATATATATATATATATATATATATATATATATATATATATTTAGTCTGCCAATTGTCTTTATCCATGCAACTGATACCGCTGGTTGTTGATGTCACTTTTATATTTACATACGCTCTATTCCTGATATCCAACACTTTAACTCATAAATATAGCATACCTTTACACATTATTTTTCGCATAAATACACACACACACACACACACACACACACACACACACATACACATATATATATATATATATATATATATATATATATATATAAGCATGAATTGGAATCAAACTCAGATGGAATACGTGCCGGAATTCAACAGAATGATATCTTAAAAAACAAATAGGAAACGATTTATAAATTTGTTTCGCTTTTATTTAAGATTCACCAATAAATTAAATATAAAGGAGAAAAAAAAGTTGATAATTTTTTTTTTATGTCGACATGATGCAGTGATTAGCAAGCACGTCTCGCTAGAATAAAAACGCAACGCTCTAGGCCACCAAGTAAGCCTAATAAGATTAATTCTAACATCCAGGCTTTCGTTACACATGTCTGGTCGTTCACATTTGCTAATGCCTTTTATTCTTCTCAGACACACAAAGAATAACTTAATCTCGAAGACAGATTCAGAAGCAAAACATTGAGCCTTAAACACACCTACGCCAACCACAATGTTAGCCAGTTCAGGTTCATGTAACACCGTTGCAGTCCCAGAAGGAGGTGCCATAATAGGCAGGGATCACAAGTGTCAAGAAGAGTTAAGGAAATTATTTGTCAAATGAAAGGAACAGGAATATCTGAAACAGTGAATATTTCATGTCTGTTTCCTGACAAAAGATTAATTCTGACATTTCTCGGTTACGTTCGTTAAAGTAATGCTTTATGTGTTACGCGTTGTTTGTGTAATACGCGATACAGCACACTGCATTTATTGAATAAATATTTCAAAACACTCATACTGCATTTATTGAATAAATACTTCAAAACACTCACACGATTTTTATCATATATATATATATATATATATATATATATATATATATATATATATATATATATTGTATAAGTTATTTTTATAGATACAAATATTTAAGTAAATGCTCTGTTTATAATAAACAGTATTAACAAAATTTACTGGCCTAAATGTCTGAGAAATCTCAAAGAAAATATGTGTCCTCCGACAGGAATCGAACCTGTATCCTACACGAAGCCATTATATAATCTAACGTGCTATACCATTTAGCAACAGAGGAAGCGTCTGGTTAGTAAGTTTAAATTACTGTTTTTAAACTACAAACTTCCCATAATTTCTCTCGAACGCTCATATCTACCCGAAGCTTATCTTAACGTAAACAAATGACATATTATATTATGAAATGGACAAAGTCCGACAATTATTTTAATATATTATTTGTATATAGGTTATTTTTTATAGATACAAATATTTAAGTAAATGCTCTGTTCATAATAAACGGCGTTTATTCATTTATATTATAAACAGAGCATAATTTCCTGAAAAACTATTTCAACAAAACGATTATATATTCCAGCCGACATAGACGCTAAATATTCGGTCAATTAATACCGATTTTTTTGTATGGAAACAATTAATGTCATTATTACATCTGAAGGCTTTGTAAATAGTTTTACTATTAAAATATTGGAAATTATTTTGCTATGGGTATTAGAAAAAACTTATAAAAATTACCGATTGTTTTCTGTATAGAAACAGTCAATTTAACTGTTACCATAGCAGGGTTGTGTAAATGGTTTTATTATAAGAATATATTGTAAATTATTTCCCAGGGAAATTAAAAAGCGCTGTACCAGTTGACTATTGCTTTCTGTATAGAAACGGCCAATTTAACTGTTGCTATAGCAAGGGTCTGTAAATAATATTATTATAAGAATATATTGTAAATTATTTTACTACAGGAAATAGAAAGAGCTATAACAGTTAGTGGATTTAAGATGTCTAATTCCTTGAAAGGTTCTTTTGTTAACCAAATCTTTTTGTTAAATTTCAACCAACAGCAACACTGGCTGCTCGGACAATAAATGGTGAATGTTTCCTGCATGCTAACGGCTATTTTAACCATTACAATCAAGAGAGACTGATTTCTACCCAAAACTAGGGAGTTCAGTTTACTATACTATTTCCCAAATAGTTTATGGGTCGGGAAGAGAAATACGGATATACGCCTTCCCAATATCATTTGTGTGAAAGTGAACGCAGGAGGTGATGTTTAAATTTAAACCCGGCTTTTCGACTCGATATTCCGTATCGAGACCCGTTACACATCGATATAGCTTTCAAAACATTCCTCGCTATCTGCTACTATGGAGATTTTATCTATATTTTTGGTTTGCTCGTTTTTTTTTTAATGCCTAGTTCCAGCCTCCGTTTTACTTTCATACGTAACCGTATACACCCGTCAACGCAGATGTCGATCGCAAGCCTTCTCTCTTCCATCTATCTTCCTCCGTTTTTATTTATTTATTTTGCCTTGAATAAGCAAGCAGATAACAGCAGTCCGGAAAAGAACAATGTGTCGAGAACAGACGGAAAGGCAAACGATATGTCAGATCTTCAGCCTCAGCGTAAAGCGGCTCAGAGTTCCTCTCACCAGAATTCGACAGTTATGAAAAGACATCAAGGACCCCTTTGCAAACCGTCATTTCGGGCTTAAGCCGACGGCTAAGCGCATAGCAGGAAAGGTCGCAATCTCTTATTCTTCTCGGGTATCACTTTGTTTATTTCATTAGAGGCAAGCCGGGCGGCTGACAAGTGCTACAGTCATGCCACTAACGCCCCACCCTTCGCACAATCTTCCCATTATGTTATTATATGTCAATGTGTAGGTGCGTCTTTAAGTATGGATGTCTGGAGAACGGTGAGTGAGCAACTCTAACCAACTTCGGCGTGGCGCAGAAGGTGATTTGATGAGCCTGGTGGCATTTCCATGAGTTGAAAGAATGTGGCTGATAGACGATTCTGAACAGTGCGGAATGCGCATGCGCAGTAAGTATTTGATTTTCTACTGCCTTTACTTTCTTTGAGTTTCGTTCTCGATTTCTTTCTACATTGACATTTTCTTTAGATTTTTTTTTCTTTCTGTAAATTTTTCTTTACTTTGTCAACTTTACAATATTCGTATTTCACTTTTCTACTCAATTTCCATTTCTTTTATTTTATAGCGTTTTTCATTTTTTTTTCATCGCTACTTCAGTTTTCTTTTCTTTCATCTACATTTCATTTTCTTACTTGCTTTTTTTTCATTCTTTTTTTTACAACCTACTATAAAACATTCTTGATTTATTTCCTTTCTTCTGTAAAACTTTGTCTTTTCTTTTTTTTTTTATAAGAAACATTTTTATTCCACCTAATCACCCTCATTGATGGGGTCTCTTTCTTTTACCTAATCACGCTCCATTGATGAATTTCTTTTTTCTTTATTCTACATAATCACTCTCCAATGATAAGTTTCTTTCATTATTCTACCTAATCGTCCTCTTTCTTTCTTTCTTTCTTTCTATTCAGGGAGAATAGATAGAAGAAAGAAAGTTGAGGAGTTACTTTCTCTCTTTATTCTATAAGATGTATTTTCATACTTTTGTAAAATTTTCTTCGTTATCGTTTTCTTTCTTTCTTTCTTCGTTATCTTTTTCTTTCTTTCTTTCTTTCTTTCTTTCTTTCTTTCTTTCTTTCTTCCACTTGACTACCCCCCATTGATGCGTTTGTTTCCTTATTTCTTCATCCTACCTAATCACTCTCCATTGATGATGAGTTTCTTTCTTTCTTTATTCTACCTACCTCCCCCCTATATTGATGAGTCTCTTTCTTACTTTCTTCTACCTATTCATCCTCCATTGAAGAGTTACTTTCTCACTTTATTCTATAAGATCAATTTTCCTACTCTTTCTTTCTTTCTTTCTTTCTTCTATAAAATATATTTCCTTTTCCTTCGTTCTCTCTATTATAATTCCTATTTTCTTTTAATTCTTCCTTCTTTGAAAACTATTAACTTCTATTTTATTCATATTATATCTTTGTTTCTTTATCTTTTTCTTTCTTTTTTATTGTCTACTTTCTTTCTTTCCTTTTCTTTTTGTAAAATTTTCTTCGTTTTCTTTCTTACTTTCTTTTTTTCTTTCTTTTACTGACGTCTGCCTTCAAATTATTTTCATTTTTCTTTTATTGATGTCTTTCTTATACGACTTTATTTTTATTTTTGTTTTTATTTGTATACATCTTCTCATCTTCTTTCCTACATTTTTTTTTCTTCTTTCATTATACACTGATCATTTGCAAGATTTTTTATTCCCTCCATTTTCCTAAATATTAATCATTATTCTATTATCACTTTCGCGGTTATTGTCCGGCAAATAATTTGTAGATGGCATTTAATTCAACCGATGCAGCGTGACCAACTACTCTGACCTTGCGCCAGAATAACTAGAATAGTGTCTGGTTGAGCGCCTCATATTTGTAGCCTTGTGCCATGCTAAAATATATTTTGTAAATTACGCGTACCCCTCATCAGAGGCCAGTGTTCAGAAACTAAGACTCGCACATTGCTATTAATTAGAATTCAATTTTCACAGTGAGCGCCTTATATCAGATGAAACTAACATTACTAAAATCGCATAGGCTCTTCGCCCTCCATATCAACGGTTAGTAACGTATTCTTTTAGACTCTGACTGCTCCAATGAGTTCCAGCCTCATCGACTACTAAACGATAGACGCTATTATGCCGGGCTATCCAAAGAGGAATATATATATATCATTACTTTGGAAATCATTTTTTGCAATAGATTCTGTTCTTTTTCTGTTACGGTTTTCATTGAAATTTGGCCCGGAACGTGGATATTCCATACCGCTTTATTCTTGACTAGCAGCCAACTGATCTATCAGAAAAAAAAAAGTTCAATTAGAATAGAAAAAAAACAGTATCATGTTTAGAGTCTATATACTTCAATTACTTTAAAGGACTTAGATTTAAAAAAAAACACAAACATTTTGAATTAATGCAGTTACTGATATAACATAAGTAGTCTGTATTTATTCAATCGAAGTTAGCCGAGAACATGAAGGGATAAAAGAGGCAACATTAAGAAATACTTCAGGCCACAACTATTTTGGAGTTTTTGAAATTCAATTTGTCAGTGTTGAGATGTTGTGAGGTTCCCGCGTGTGGGTGTATGAATCAAGACAAACACAGTTGTAGAGGAAAATACTGGTATATTCATAAAAGTAATTAATAATAGAGTGATTAGTAGAACGAAAGTTGGTTAGTACGAAACAATATCCAATAGTCCAACGGTATGTACCGGGTAAGCTTATCTGGACTGCTGACGCTGACGCTCTGTCACTCTCTCTCCAGAGCTGACTTATATAAGAGGGACCAGTCCATTACTAGTTAGAAGGTAGGTGCGCCCCAACAGTCAGCGTGCTACCAGGGAAGTAAAAGAGGATACATTTATGAACCAATTGTTAAGTTTGATGAAAATTGGTTGAAAGATCAACGAAAAATAAGAAAGAAACCAGTAAAAATCGCCATTTTTCGCTATTTACGCGGATTTCCACTATATGAGTGGACTCAATTATCAAATTAAATGACTGTTAAACAATTAACTTATTATTGGCTACAATTGAGTGATGGTTGTATTAGACTGCCTGAAAATTGTAGGAGTTTTAGTTCAATATTTGTGTTGAAATCGATTATTTATTTTCCGCTGTCTTTCGCTAAACACGGTAGTGTAGAAATAAATATGAGGTATTGTTGATTTCATAGCCTACATACCGAGTATGAACAAAACCGGACAAAAAAATGTTGAATTTATCGATTTTTAATCGGCTTTTTCGATTATTGATATTTTTTTAAAGATAGTCGATTTTTTACAATAAGAACCTATCTCTTACATTGTACAATGTATGTGCTAAGTTTGGTCAAAAACAGACAGACAAACACACAGACATCGTCCTTTTTTTTATATCCCTTAGACCTATACATACATAATTCCTATTCCCAAGCATACAATATTGCCTTATTCTCATATACACATAATCCGTTATACCTATATATGCATATTCCCTTAGACCCATAAATGCATAATACCAAACACTTTTATATATAATCCTTTAATCCCGTAAATACGTAAACCATTATTCCCATACATACATATATACCTACATATATAATGCTTTATTCCCATACATACATATACGCATATTCCTCTACATATTTAATGCTTTATTCCCATGCATACATATTCCCTAGAAAATGAGCAAGCTTAATCGTATTTTTTTATCCAGCATCAATTATTGTCTCTAGTACCAAACTGAGACAGACAATATGAACCATAAAACAGTTTCGAAAATTAGTAATTGAAATCTGGTGTTTTATTTTTTTTTTATACCAGCGTTCACTTGACCTGAAAGATTAAATTCAACATTTTTTCCACAGAAAAAAAAAAAATAAAACAATTCTCACTCTATGTGAAATTAATGGATACGTAAACAGATAGATAGATAGATAGATAGATAGATAATGAATACAAGAGAAGGAAGAGCACCTCTCGCCTGTGGAACTTCCTTCCATATTCTAGTTTCCCTGAGAGCTATAATTTCCAACTATTCAAATGTAATGTCATTCGACATCTCCAGTTGCCTTGATCTATCCACTATTCTTCTCCTCATCCTTATTTCCTCTATCACTCCTATCTGATCTTGCTCCAAATCTTCTGTAACCCCTTTCGTCCTAGTGGCTTCCCGCCTTGCTTGGGGTGAAACGCTTTAAAAAAAAAAAAAATAGAAAGAGGGTGGCGAGTGAAAGAAATATGTTTTTCTTTGAAAACCAACCGTTTGCTTTAACAAATAAACCATTTTTTTTTGTTTTTAATGATGTTTTCTGATGCCTTTTTTTTGCCTTTTTTAATGCCAGATTTCTGGGAAACGAATCGGCCAAATCGTAAGGAGAAAACACAGACGCCATTTGGGATACAAATAAAAACTGAAAGACGATACAGGGAATCAGACACAGATGTGAAAGAAAGCGAAGAGTAAAGAAAAATAAATAAATAAATAAATAAAGAAAAGAAGAACGAAAGAAAGAAAACCAAACAATTACTGTCAAGAATTTCTGGGATGACAATTTATCATTATTTACATTATTTACACGCAGACATTTGTCCCCATTTTTGTAGTTATTATCATAACGTTTCAGTTATTGTGTCCCCTGGTGTTCATCAGGTGATTGATGTCGAACCAAGTAACCTTCGGGGAATTTCAACCAGAACCCGTTATTTAATCTAATACCCCAGTGGATTCAAGCTTTGGTTCCTGAATTTGGTGACATAGTAATTGCGAGTCCAGTCCCCAGGTCGGGCAGTGGGTACTTTGGCTCAGTGGAAACGGCGAGCAGTGACTGAGCCGCTCAAGAAGCGTGTCCGAAAGTTTGGATAAAATTGACACTGGTGCGTTCAAATCGAAAACTAGCTGCGTGACTGAAAAAGATTTTCGAAAAGAGAAAAAATAGATAAGAATCCATTACAAAAATTAAATTTCCACCTGATTCGCCAGGGATCTGTAGAAAAATGGTCACGTAATGTAGTTTTTTGAACCTGTGTTGATAGTTGGTAGAATTGTTATAAATATGTTTTCATAACATTTTCTCATTAAAGGGTTATGCTCTTTTTAATAACGCTGTTATTGGTGAAATTAAAGTTATATTCCATGTCATTGCGGTTTAAGACGAGAAAATTTGAATGTCTATCTAATCACAAGTCTCTTTTGTGTTCCTGGATACTACTGTCTCCCCAGTGCATATGTTATTGCGCTGTAGACATTTGATTTGATAAACCCAGGTATTTTAATTGTGTTTTGTTATATTTTTCGTCCTGATTATATCTCCGATAGTTTTGGAAGTGGTGGTAACGATCTTCGTGTTAGGGATGGCTAATTCCTTTGCGAGTTTCGTGGTATATATACGTCAGCCCAAGAAGCATTTTCGTTCACAGGCACACATGAGCATCGTATAAGCATGAGATTGACTGTCACCGTTGACTTCAATATCCAGTTTATACTTTCACACGCTCTATGATATTGAACACATTAACCTTTACACATAACATACGTTAAAGCTATATTTTATCTTATACATACATACATATATATGAAGAAAAATATACGGAAAAACAAACAAAAATCCTAATATGCAATTATGCTATTTTAATGTTAATATAATGTCAACGTCGGACGTTTCGGTCTAATAGACCATCTTCAGAACATATTCATGAAACATAATTAACATTAGTCTATATTCAATTCAACATGAAAAAGACGGTGGATATAAGAGTAAGACTAATCCAAATAGACAACTAAAATTTTTTATAAGATCAGCGTTCCGTTTTAATATGATCACGTCGCAGTCACGTGGGCGATGTTGTGAAAACCTATTCGAAGATGATTTCAAAATATTAGATAAGCTCGATTGAACGATTTTCTCATATAAACAGTTCGTTAAGAAATCCTTTCTGTTCTTATAGGAATACGCGGAGATGAATAGATTCTTATATTTTCGTATGAGCTTGAAGTCTTCCATGTTATAAAGTAAATCTGTTTGGATTAGTCTTACTCTTATGCCCATCGTCTTTTTCATGTTGAATTGAATATAGTCTAATGTTAATTATGTTTTATGAATATATCCTGAAGATGGTCTATTAAACCGAAACGTCCGACGTTGACATTAAACATTAAAACATCATAATTGCATATTAGAATTTTTGTTTGTTTTTTTCGTATATGTTTTTTTCTTACTGTCGGATCTATATCCATATATTTGCTTACATATATATATATATATATATATATATATATATATATATATATATATATATATATATATATATATAAACGAAAGTAAGCTGAAAAGTACATAGGCTGACTATGAGGGTGGCATGCTAGACCTGTGATATATTGCATGCATTAATTTCAACCCTTATTATTAATAACTGCATTCTTTAATTTGGTTCAAGTGTCTCAGAGAACTCGTCACAATGTTTGAAATGTCTACTTCACTAAATAATAAAAAAAAAATCATCTGTTTTTACTCTGAGCAATTTCTCGTCTTATGCTAGCCGAACATTTCTCGGGTATCTATCT